CTTTAGTCGATATTTTCTCACCGCAAATAGAAAGAAAAAAACGTTGCGTTTTTATTTTGGCTGTAGAAAGAAAGCTTTGAGCAATTTTCTCGCCTCGAGTTCATCTTTGAAAACAGCAAACACCGGGAAGCCGGCTTTAAAACATAAACTTAGGCTTTAAGCATAAAGACTCAGGATTCTTAGAGACACTTTAATACTTAATTGTCTTCGTGAATGAAAATTATTGTCTCTGTAAATGTTTCACCGAATTATATTTCTTTTATTGATTGTTAGTAGTCTCTCTTGCAATTTGCCGTTAATGTTTTCAGTCGTCGCTTGCAGGAGTACTCGCGCGTATTAAACGCTTGTTAAGTTTACACATCGTTATAAAACCATTAAATAAAAAAAAAAAAAACAATAAATTCTTTATTATGTTGAAGTGTAACTCTGTTAATGTTCATTCAAACACTCCACAGCTTGCAACTGGCTGGCCGTTATATAGGTGATTTTGGAAATTTTTTTAGCGGTTTCGAGCCTAAGCGTGCTTCGATCGTCCTGAATATTGAATGAGTGCAATTTATATTTCAAAACTGTGAAATACTGCATTCTGTCTGGTCTGTATGATAAAAACAGCGCCTCATAGTACTGTTTCAATACTTGTTTCACCTCAGACTGTCAGATGTGATGTATAAAAAGTATAAAAGGTTGGTTTACACGCCCCCAGATTTGTTAGCAAGATTTTGTAAAGCAAACTTGTCAAACGGAAAAAATTCTGCCGGATTTGCTTTCCAAGTCAGTTTGTTTTCCAGGCCTAATCTACTGTGATCAAGAGCCATTATGGACGTTAAATGTGATCGAAGATGATTGCTATTTTTTGGGTGTACATATAAAGGTCGTCAACTCGATGTAAGGTTTGGTGCACTCTTGGACTGTTAGCAAATTGTTTTTCTCTCAAATCACTTAGCCTTAATCCCTCAAAACAAAAGTCACATGAATGTGCTCTAAAGTGAGCATTATCCGACTAACCAAGAACCAATGACATATCTTACGATTTTACTAACAAGATAATTTTTCCGCGTTTTGTGACTCACAGCCACTTTGATTATATTTCTGTAAATGGGAGTGATTTTGCAAAGGGTAAACCCAGTCAGTCTCCAACTAAAGAAGCTTAAGCCATTTCTGAGTCAAGCCTGGGTAATTGCGAAGACACGATTCTCCGGGTTAATCATTGTTTACAGTTTTCTTCTCATTAGCTTTCGCTTCCTGTTTTCTAATCAAGTTGCAAAATGAAAAATGCCAAATCTAACTATTGAAAGGGCATAGCACAATTACCTCTTCCAAAACTGTAAGGCCAAAAGACAAAATACTTTTTTAGATATTTAATGTTGAAAACTTCAACTTTTTTTGGAGTATACAGACTAGACTTCGAATAACCCTTTGTCGCCCCCAAATGTTGCTTTTTCAGAATACTGATATTTCGTAAATGCAAAGAGCGAAAACCTGCACAGACTGCTAAGTTTACACTGAAGCTCTCTCTTATAGTTACAGAAGTCAATTTTTATTTGGAAGAAATTGCCTATATTTTGTTTACCGTTGGCTAAAGAACAAATCAGTCAGTTTCCCTTGTCACTTGTTAGGAACCG